TAAAGACGAGGAAATTGCTCTACTTCGCAGCAGGATAGCAGCAATGAAGGCTTCGAAGCAGCGTGTGCCACGGTCATAAGCTGACCACGCTTTAGCTACCGTTCATTGCGGCTCTTCTGTGCCTGCACCGAGTACGTCTCGTTCGACACGAAAGTGCAATATGTTACCTGCACGTTCTCAGCCCGGCAATCCCAAATCCGCCGAAGAATTATGTTGGTATCACCGCCAATATGGTGAAAGAGCTAGACGTTGTCGAGCTTCCTGCATTAAGCACGAATAAGCGGCTTCAGGGAAAACAAATAGCCCGCATACTAGCATAATCAACGTATCCGTCAATAATCAAGCAAATCGCTTGTTTTACGTTAAGGATCGACCTTTTTCCATCATGTTCCTCCTCGACACGGGAGTGGAAGTCAGCGTCATCCATGCAAACGCGAAGGATAAGGACCCAAAGCCTACGTACAACCTGCGTGTGGCCAACGGTACTCCGATAGCTTCATTCGGTCAGCGCATGATGAACCTGGACCTCAATCTTCGCCGAGATTTTCAGTGAGTCTTCTTGGTTGCGTCTGTACCTTTCGCAATTATCGGTATCGACTTCCTCCGACATTTTGGGTTTCTCGTTGATGCTGGTCGCCACAGACTTTTAGACGACCGTACTAAACTAGGGGTCGAAGGCGTTCTTACGGACACCCTGATAATCCGTCCCGTTTTTCGAATCGCCGATGTGCCATCAGATTATGCGAACCTACTGCCTGAATACCCGCGACTGATACGACCAGTGGATATAGGGTTCGTAGATCTAGTGACCATTTCGGCCTGACAATATACCTAGTCGGACACTGCGTACACAAATAAACGGCGGTTGTTTTCCATACAAAACCGGGCTACTTTAAGCAGCTCAGGCAATGGTGTTTCAAAATTGTGTCCGGATTAAATGTTTTCACTCTGACTAGACGCCCGTTCAAGCTTAGCAAACGCCGAAATTGCTGCTTCGATAATATCACAAGTCTGCAGATGATGCTTTCTTTAACTGGTTGTTCGGTCTTCAGCTACTTTTGGCTGTACCGACGGATGCCGCGGATTTTTTATTTGCCGTGTTGCATTCTACTTTTGCTTTCGGAATACTGTGTTATACGTGTCTTCTCCCTGTGAATTGTACACCAATACTTTGCTTTTGCTGTATTTTTCCATCTGTGCGAATTTGGTGGTTATTCTTCGGCTACTGTCGGAGGTCTCACTGATTGGCCCCACTTCCGTTTGTGTCCGTCAGCTTGGAGTTGTTCTACAGCAATCTAACCGGTGTCTGCCAGACCACCAGCTTGACCGACGACGTTTGGATCTAGCATGCCAGTGTAGACGTTGCAACGAACGACTTCCGTGTATTTTACAGTCACAATAGCACGTACTGCTTGCCCACGGACAACTAAGCCAAAAGCTTCCGAAATGAATGTTAGCTGTGGGGTAGACATCTGTGTATAACTTGTGATATTTTAAATAGAACGCAGAAACTGCCGGAAATACTTCATTCTTGATGGGCTCGTCTCAGACCAGACACCAGACCAGACACATCAGTGCCTCGAACTCGATGCTCAACATCACGCTGCAATTCAGCACAGTGTAGGATTCAGAGTTAGCCATCCCGATACAAGCGGCAGCTCATATAGATGCGTTCACCACACATTCCTCAACAGAATCAGCTGCCACACTGAACACTATTAAAGGCCCGACAACATGCGTCCTTTGTTGCTACCCATATGACGGAGGCACCTCCCATCGTAACTCTCCCGCTGCCAAACGAGTTATTACTACCAATACCATCACGGGACTCAAGACCCCATCATTTGTCTAACCGAAGAAAACAGCCACTGGTTCCTACAAAAAGGAGAATATGAAACACTACCATACTTCTTTAACTGTTATATGCTCTGATGTGACTGAATCCGGGCGAAATCCATAAAAGATAAGATACTAGACGATAAAAAACAGTGGGACTCCTTGTGTCAACTAATAGAGGTTCAAACTAAACAAGTCATTATGATGCGTCTAGTATGTCATCCAAACTCCGTACACTACAGTGAACCGCGGTTACTCCAGGTAACACTTCAGTCAGGTAATGATGCAAAAATAGTTCTCTTGTCTGCCGCTCGTCTCCGTACCATCACATGCACTGTTCGAATTTTTACAGATGTTCCTTGGAGCGGACGCCAGATAGGCGAACGAAATCCGGATGACTTCCGTAAACACCCAGACGCAAAATCCATTCTTGTTCAGGGTGTCTCCGAGCTCCAGACATTAAGCGAGTTAGAGGCCAGAGCGCATGACTGGGATGAATGGCGTTTTATTCGTGAAGTGTTCTCACTCGAACATGTTATCATTACTTCGACATCAAGAATACCGTTATCACCCAACTACAAAAGGTGTGATCTCCGAGTGATGAAAGTATCATTGCACCCCGAACTGAGGGCAGAACATGTGATCAAAATGTGGCAACAAAACGTAAAATCCCGCCATCCGAAATACCTATAAAGGCGATGGGCACAGGGCCACAGATAGACAGTGTAACACTGCGCAAGCAACTTACCAATACAATTCTGCCACTGCCTAGCTCAGAACGAAGACAATGCCCAGACACACCAGCAGCTGAAGGAGGACAGGATGGTCACCTTCTTGGTGGCGCTGAGAGCTCTATGCATCAACCTGAACTGGCCCTAGGGCCTGCGTCATAAGTCTTACAAAAAGCGACCGGCAACCGACCCCGCAATGGTCGGTATAGATCCGCACCGGGAACCAGCATTCACAAACACGCTTCTGACCACTGATGCCCTCAACTGCTTGTATACTAATGCACAAGGCCTTCTCAGCAAGCAAACTGAACTTCGTATTCGTCAAGTCTCCACGCCTTGGGACCTAGTTATGCTCACCGAAACATGGCTGAAGAAGGAGATCAGGGATGCTGAGATTGCACTACCCTTCATGACTTCCATACGAAACGATTGCCCTAACAGAGGAGGGGGAGTGCTCCTGTATTATCGATCCCACCTGCATATTGATATCATTGAGGACCCGGCAACGAAAGTCGTCGATTCCCTTTGGTGTCGTATGCACCTAAGATGTGGTGTGTGTTGACTAGCAATAGTTTACCGCCCTCCAATGTCCACCTTGGAAATGGATCAGTGCCTAGCTTCTGCGATGAAACGATTCCTAGCACGACCATACAGTCATGTCCTTCTGGTGGGGGGCTTCAACCTGCACGCAATCGAAGTTCCGCCATCGCACTGCGAACAATTCAAGGCTAATTTACAAGAGATGATCGCCGATGTACCTCTGTACAACTATGTCACCTCTACCACGCGATTCTGAACGGGTGACACACCATCTGGTTTGGGCTTTGTACTCTCCAAGGAGGAACTAATGGTCGACACCGCGACCATAGATGCACCACTTGGCTGTAGCGATCACGCGACGTTGATATTTCGTTACATCTATTACTCGGAGTACACCAGTGAGAACAACGTGGAAACCTATGTCGTTACACATGACGATATCCTGTCCAACCTCGTTCACGAAACCGACTGGTCCTTCCTGGCCGAGAAGCCACCCGATATCTTCTGGATGTTGTTCGTCGCCCAATTCACTGAGTTAGTGGCGAATACGTCAGAAAGCAAGGTTCATCGCCAGAAGCAAGTAAACTCATTTCTGAGGAGCCGTACTAGTGAATGCATGGTCTTAAGGGATTCAGCCTGGCGCGCTTACAACGTCTGTCCAAGTAACCTAACCTGGGGTGCTTACACAAGGTAACGAATCCACTGAGTCAAGTTGAGCCGCGAAGACAAACTCCAGCATCAGCGGAA